AAAAAACAGATCTGATTTTATCATCCTTGTGACTGTAGGGGACAAGCCTAAAATCAACCCTTACATGAGACACCAGCAGCTCTGTGTTAACATCTGGGGGAGGTGATTTGAACCTAGCCCCAAATTTAGCCCAACTCTGCTCTGAGCTTGTGCTGCTGTTATCTGGGAGGAAAGGTGCCTCACTACAATTACACCCCACTCATTGCTGCCTGAAACCTCCTGTTTGGTCCAAGAAACTGCCTGATAAGAAAAAGAGCCCAACACAAACCGCATCTGTCCCTCCCCACCTGTGCTTCCTCTCCCAGAGCCTCTTCTGGAGCCCCCTCCAGCACCATCCCTCACCCTCACCCTCACCTCGTGGCATGGAAAAACCTGCTGGGAAGGGGACACTCACACAGCTCACACTTGAGCCCAAAGGATTTCCCAATCTTGTTGATTCGGACCATTGGGGTGAAGCCAATTTTCTTGAGGATATTGGGCAAGATCTTCTTTTCTTCTGTCCTGAAATAATACAGAGGGGGAAAAACCAGGCTAATCAAAGCTATTGTTATGCAACATGAACCAAGAGAAAATCTGAGTGAGGTTTCAGCAGCTTTATCAAGGCCATGGAAAGACACCCCAACTCCAAGAGGAAAAGTCCCCATCAACAATTAGTGGCACCAGGAGTTAGTTATGGTTTTCCATCATGAGTTATTAGCTCTTTTACATAAAAAGCAAGCTAATTAATTTTCTGAAATACCTTGCTCTGCAAGGCCCTGGACCAGGTCTACAATGAATGAGAGGATGCTGGCAAACCTTGGGATTTTATGTTGTGGATGAAGAAGCCAGGAGACACAGCACAAGGTTCCTCCTCTTTCCTCCATCCTGCCCAGCACCACCTCTGCTTCCCACATTTACAAGTGTTGTTTGCCTGGCCAGGACTCCCAAACTTGCAAGGATGGCTCCAAAAGCCACTGAAACACTCAGGGCTGTCAGTGTGGCTGAGCCATGGCACGAGGATGCTCCAGCTCCTTCAGGCATTGTTTAACTCTCTTGAGAGTGACCTGTGTTAGTGCTTTACATGTCTGGCATATATCCTGCAGACGCTGGTATCAGTTCAGGACAGTGGACAAGGATGTTTTTTCCCTAAGATTCCAGCTTTTATTCATGGCTTGCTATTGCTTAAGATGTTCTGGGGAAACCAGTTCTGGCAAAGCAAGGAATTCCTGCTGAGGTTATGGTGGGTCAGAACTGGCTCAAGGGATATCAGTAGTCTACGTCTGTATCTTTGGAAAAAAATAATCCATACTCTTGATTAAAATAGCATCTTGCTTCTCTTTCTGCTTCTACTCCCAAAACTCAATCAGATTTCACATGGGAATCTCAGAAGTGCAGAGATTTTTGCTGCCTTGGCTGCCATCTGTGGTTTACCCAGAGCAGGGAAAGCAAACCCCTCTCTCCACACAAAGATGTGACATCCCAGTGTATTTTTTTTCACTATTATGCAGTGGGTTGTTTCAGTTCCTGTCCAGCAGTGCTGTGAGGGCCCCCTCAGCCAGACCCCATTCCCAGGGTGGTGTTTGATGCCCAGGGGTGGGGAATGTCTCTCCATCTCCTGTCTGGGTGTGGGATGGGTCCTGACAGTGGCACCACCACGGCACCCTGACGCTAAATTGTTAAAAAATAAGAACATTATCCTGCACAGCATGATAATGGAGGGGGAAAAGTAATTTTAACTGAAAAGAGCCAATTCAATCCTCAGGTGCCAGCTGCAGGGGTTGCACTGAGTGAGTGCCTGGATGCACAGCTCGCTGGATCAGCTCCAGGGCTCTGCATTCTATTCCTCCCTCCTTCATGCCAGACCCAGAGGCTGTTCTGGTTTTCCACATGCTGGTGGCTGTGTCCTGGCCTTGTCCTGCCTGGCATGTGGTCAGGCACTGCCCTACAGAGCAGTGCTGCACCTCCCGTGGGCTCCAGTTCCTCACTCACCAGAGCTGCAGTCCTGGTTTACATCTTTGCACTGCAGGGACGTGTCTGCAGTTCCCTGGCATTTATGGGACAGCCTTATCTTTAGTAGCTTGTCTGTGTCTGGTTTGCAGGGTCATTAAAGCACCTCTTGTCAAGTCTAGTCTGGGCCCTCATGTCACCCTGGGAGGGAAACCGCAGCTATGAGGGCAAAAACAGCTCAGAGCAAGCACTTTTCTCTGCACTGTGGCCATTTGCTACAGATTTAAAAGCCTGTAATCCATTTTTATGAAGGCATCTCAGCCATCTAAAATGAGATGCCCCAAACAAGCAGATGCTTTAAAACACAGAGCTGAGTCTCGAGCCAGCCACACCTTTCTGCAAAACTGCAGGGAGTGGGAAAAATCTCCTTGGAGAGGAGGGACTAAGCTGGGTTTGCCATCTGAAAATTAAACCATCATTAACATAACTACTAGCTTCTGACCATGATCATCATGGTGCAACAATAGCATTTTACCTCAGCAACAGGAAAATGTGCTGAGCTTCACTCTGAAATAACAGCATGGAAGAATTACTTACAAGGGAACACAGGAGTGTGGAGATTTGCTGGCAGGCGTTGTGGCTGTCCACGTGCACTTACTGGGCAGGTTGGGAAGGATCCACGTGCTGTCCTGACTTCCTGCACCTCTGCCATTCATGAGGGGACACGTCTTGCTCAGCTCCTGTGTGGTGGAAATAGAGGTCACAATATTCACCTGGCAGAAAAATAGCTGCAGAATGCAAAAAAATGGTGTTTGGATGCTTGGAGCATCCTGCTGGCATTTCAACCACATGGATCCAGGTGGATGAGGAGGCTGCACCTATGGAAGGAGGTTGGAAGGAGAGGAACAGGTGAAAGGATGGTGTAGTGAGGTGGGTGTCAGTCTCTTCTTTCAGGGAGCAAGTGATGTGACAAGAGGAAATGGACTCCAGTTGCTCCAGGGGAGATTATACATCACAAAAAAAAAAAAGACACCTAGATTGGACATTAGGAAAAAAAATAGCATTTGAACAGATTTCCCAGGGAAGTGGTATAGTCACCATCCCTGGAAGTGTTCAAAACTCACGTGGATGCAGCACTTGAGGACACAGACTAATGATGAGTGTGGTGGTGATGGGTTCGTGGTTGGACCTGATGATCATAAGAGTCTTTTCCAACCTTAACAATTGCATGATTCCATGATTACATAATAAATTTGCTCTTTCAGAATGCTAGACCCCACACATCATTGGGGCATCCTCTCCAGTACATCTTCCCCTGCTCAAAATCATCCCCTCCACTAGAAAATTTATGCTCCTTGTTTAACTATTTGGTCAAAACCAGC